GCTGTAAGATAGACACAAATAAACTATCTACTGTTTCAGTTCAGCAAAGTTATCAAGCTTCCCTGGCTAGTGCACTCTGCTGCGATCCATCGCAAGCTATTGATGAACACTGGACGTGCATGCAGAGGACCATGATGTCTTCCGGGTAGCAAGTCTGTAGTCTTAGCGCCCTATGAAGGCCTGGATCTCCAAGCGCTCTTTGGGTTTATTTGACCGCCGCAGGAGTATCTCAGCGGAGTCTAATCATGATGAAGTCTACCGTTCTGTTAGTCGGCAGCTCAAACAAAGCCTACGCAGTGATCGTGAACCCCATTGGTCCCAGCGTGCTACGGAAATGGATGCCACTGCCCTCTCTGAAAATAATCGCAAGCTTTTCCAGCTCATTCTATCCACTGGCCACAGAAAGCCTGGTGTCAGTGAGACTATATGCGAAGTGGATGGTTCGCCGATTGCCAACTTACAGAGACGCTTGGACCGATGGGTCGAACATTTTCATTCCCAGTTCAATTGGCCCTCACCGTCCACTTATATGCCCTGCGATCCCAGCTGCCCGCCCTAAGTCGCCACACTTGATCCACCCAGCGAGGCGGAAATTCGGATTGCGATCCAACACGTAAGACGATTCAAGGCTGCCGGCTCAGATGGACTTCCTCCGGAGCTGTTCAAATATGGATACTCAGCCATCACTATCCAGCTAACCTCATTGTTCTCCAAAATCTGGCATAAAGAACAGCTGCCTTTTTCCTGGGGTGAGTCAGTTATTGTCCCGGTTTTTAAGAAGGGTGCTCGCACCTCATGTCCCAGTCACCGGGGGATTAGTCTCATTTCGGTTGCCTCCAAGCTATTGGTATCCATTCTACTCCGTAGACTATCTCCCATTCGCGAATCACACTACCAGAAAGAACAAGCTGGCTTCCGACCTGGCCGCAAGTGTGTGGATCAGATATTCACACTCTGTCAAATTCTGGAACACCGCCACCTTTACCAGAGACCTGCCATTGTTGCATTCCTGTACCTTCGTGCCGCATTCGACTCGGTTGATCGACCTGCACTATGGCGTTGTTTGCTGAGGAACGGTGTTTCAGAGAAGTACTCTGTCATCCTGCGCGCACTGTATTTCCACATCTCTGGCAGAGTGAAGGTGTATGGCAGGCTTTTGCCGTCCTTCATTGTCAATAGCGGTGAATGACATGGCTGCCCTATCTCCCCGTTCCTCTTCACTTTTGCAATTGAAGACATCCTTTTGAGAGCTCTAGACAGTTGCCAAAATTTTTTATATACAGCTATCAACGGGCAAGCGAGCACCCGACTTAGATTATGCCGATGGTATCGCCTTACTTGGGGAGAACTCACAGAGCATGCAAACCATTCTAGACCGCTTGGCGATTGAGACGTCTCTGTACGGAATGTGTTTTGCTTCGGCAAAATGTAAAATGCTGGTTCAGGATTAGCACTCAACTGTTCCCGTGCTCAATATTGGAGGTACACTGGTTGAACAAGTGCATAGCTTTGTCTACCTTGGCAGCTGTGTGTCTGCTGGTGGTACCATTAGAAGGGAAATTTCCTTTCGCGTCAATAAAGCTCGGTCGGCGTTTGTCAACCTGCAACACTTGTGGCGTCGCCGGGATATCTCCCTCTTGGTAAAGGGTCGTGTTTACTATGCCACAGGTCGGACGGTGTTGCTATATGGAAGCGAGTCATGGCCAATTCGTGTAGACGATATGCGCCGGCTCTCGGCCTCCGACAACGGGTGCTTGAGGAGGATCGCTCGTGTATGGTGGCAACAACCCGTTTGCAACATTGAAGTCAGGCGTCATGTCTTAAGGAATGCGAGTATTCTCTTCAGCAAGCCGGTTTTGCTGCATCAGTTAAATGGCTCCGTCATGTCAGCTGAGCGTTTGCCTTATCTTGCTCTGTTTGCTCGTGCAGGACTCAAGTGGAAGCGATCGCGTGGTGATCCGCCATCCACCTAGCGACAGCAAATGAAATCGTTTACGTCTTGCCACCATTGGATCCACATGCCTGGTTGGGGATCGAAGGACGAGGAGTGTCCATGACTGGAAACAATTCAGGATATGGCTCGTAATCTGTGTATATAACTGCTTAGATTTGGATACTTAATGATTAAAAAAGACAAAAAATTGAAAAAAATGGCGTGTACAAAATAACAAAAAGATGCTCCGTTGTTTTTTCTATTGTGGCACGATAGCTACAACAACAACAACATCAACAACAATTACTACTACTACTACTACTACTACTACTACTACTACTACTACTACTACTACTACTACTACTACTACTACTACTACTACTACCACTACTGCTACTACTACTTCTACTACTACTACTACTGCTACTACCTACTACTATTACTACTAAACTTTTTTTCTAGTTTGCTTGTTTCTAAAATGTTGCTCGCATGAACTTCTATCCACTTTTTTGCATCCGGACCATTACGATCGGCGTCGGAACGTTCCGGTCTGGGAATGCTTTTTCATGGAGATTGATTCGCAGATGAATAGATTCTAGTACAACGGAGCAATGCAACGGAGACATGCACCAGTGAATTAGTAACCTCGACCTTTGAAATCAGGCTTTATTCGTTTGTTGTTATAGACAAGAGCTAAAAGTGTACTGGCAACGACAAATATGTAAATGGAATGATGTCACATATCTGAACATAATCGGATAGCACTGTTTCGCTGTTTTCTTTTTCTGTCGTCAACATTTGCTTTCGATCCCTGCCATTTTACGAGCGCCTATTTGTGTATTTTTTACATTGTCTTGTTTAGGTTTGTCGTGAACATTTTATACGATGTTTTTCATTTTCACGCGTTCGTTCGTATCATCTTACTGGATACAGGGGATAAGTTGTTTTGCTCTTCTCACGTGGGCTGGATCGAGCTTTCGTGATTTGTTACTGCTGTTATTTATTGAACCCAATGTTTATTGGAGGTTCTATGTATCCCAGTGTTTGTTTCGTTTCAGTCATTTGCCGAGAGATCTAATCTTATCATTAATTTACGCAATGGAATTGCCACTTGTGGGATAACGTTTTGTACTGCATTTTGTGTTTTGCATACTAATTGTATTATTCATACGTTGAATTGTTGAGGGTTGTTATGTTCTAATCGTGTCAATAACTGAGCTGTCAGTGTCCGCACTTAAGAAAAGATTTCTCAGAAGACGAGTTTTATTTTGCAACAGTCTATGAATAGACATTGCACCATCGGAAACCATGGAACTCAAAACAAGGTACAGAAATAGTAAAAGAAAACACAACACAACACAACAATGTCCACGGTTTCGTCAGACGAGTACGAGGCTATTGCAAAAGGTAGCGTGTAGTTGTACGATATGTCTAATTATGAATCGAATATAGGACTGGGATTTCCAGCCATAATGCAGATAGATAGATGACTCTGTGTATGGAAACATCATACAAAAACCGCACTCCTTAAAGCTTACCGCTTTCATGTCTCGTCCAGGATTCAGCCACACAGTCCCTTGTGGACAGCGAGACGAGTCACGATCGTGCGGAGGGGTTGTGCGCGTGTGCTTCTCGATCGGGCCCTGATGACTTTGTGATTTTAATGGGTTTTAGGTGATGCGGGCAAATATTTGATGTTACCCGCCCGGAAACACTGCACTTCACGCTTCTTGACATTTGCCCTCAACGTACCAGCGGCCACTGAAATGTTGGCCGATACCTGTTCCCCTTTAGCCACCGTGTCACGACCAGGGTTCATTTCAGTGTGAATTGCGGTCGACATTGAGATTGCACATTGCAATTCATTTACACAACGTGTATTTCAAAATGACCGACCAATGTGTTTCAGGTGAAGTTTGTCACTGGCGGATTAAAAGCACTGCAATGGTGACCGTATATGTAGTGTCCTCTTTTTCCAATATCTGCCTTGTACAGCTACCGACTGACCCGTCAGAATAGTCTTATATTTAAGATCAAAACTAGCCCAGTTGATATCAGAAGTGATGAAGATTTGCACTGGAGTTTCAGAACAGAAAACTCCGAAATCGCGAGTTGTCGAGGGATGTTGATCCTTTGTGAGTATTTACAAGTAGTTTGTAGCGCTGGAGTACCCTCATTAAGCTCAACTTAAGGAGCATGGACTATTAAGTGGGAAACCAAAATTGGCTGCGTAGACGTTTAACGGAGCTAGAATGGTGCAGAAAGCCATCCTCGAGACTAAACTCCTTGAATCTACTTCCTTATCAACCGCGGGCCTGTTGCGTACAGTGAACTTATTCACATGCTTACCTGCACTAACCGACGTAATTCGCTTTCATATTAAGTATTCTGTCGAGAGACTTTACAAATAGCCTATATATTACAACACCGTTATTTCGTAGCACACACATACTTTAATCTGAGGCTTTCTCTGCCCATACTGGCGCCAGCGGCACTTGAGATTTCCCCGCTTCTGTAACAAATTCCAGATGCAACTGAGTTTTTCCTTCAGCAAACTCAGATGTGGGTGTCTACTAGTAGTGGCCGCTTGATGGTTTAGGTCTACTTTTTCGCTATGAACTCAGTTCGACTATGTGAAGCGTTTTTTGTCAAATAACCGCTACCACTGCAATAACGGATGAATGCTTTCAGTTGGTGTTCCATTGGCTCAGTTACTATTTTTAGGACTAGAATGTGTCATTTCATGGTAGCTTGGTGCTGGCAATTTTGTTCCCGATATCCTTTTCACTGAGACCTATCCATCAAGACGTTTACAATTCTGGTTTCTTTTGTTCGGTATTCATTTCGTTTTCCTTTGACCGTCTTCGAAAATGATCACTAAGACCGAGCCTCTACCAATTAGTAAAACGTTCGATGAACCTCGTTCATTACGGTCCCGTTAACTAAAACCGGTTTTCATTCTCTAGGTAGATGGCGTGTGTATCAGCTTTTTCCAGTCCAATCTAGTGACTTACTTTCACTTTCACTTTTCCTCACTCGCTCTGTGGTATTTTCACTTTATCCTCAGATAATGAATGGCCCGTTCAGTGTTGGAGAGGTCAAATGTTTGCTTCTACAACTTCTACGCGCAGTCCGTCACCTCCATGATAATTGGATTCTTCACCGAGATTTAAAAACTTCTAATCTTCTTCTCAGCCACCAGGGTATACTTAAAGTAAGTTGCAAATTTAGGTTTAAACTCCCCTGCATTTCTTCTTGTTTAGGCACATTTACAACTGTTAAATTGATGTCTTACTGGTGGTATTTGAAGCAACAGTACGGATTTGTAGATAGTGGAAAGTACTCCGAGTATCTACCTTTGGTTTATCATAGTGTTTTCAGCTGTTAATCATTTCCGAGGCATTCGTTTAAAAACTTGGGCTGATTTACCGGCTGTTGTTTTCCAGCTGGATATATTCATCCCTCCTTTTCGGACTTGAGCGTGGTCCTTACTCAAATGTTAGTATCTGATCAGCACTCCGATCTTTCTGTCCAACCTATGCTCAAAGCGCTGTACATTTTTCTACCCACATGATCGTGCCTCTACGGCCGTGCCTCGCATGGTAGAGAATACTTTTATTTACTTGTTTATTTATTTATTTGGCGCGGTGATACTGACTGCTGTATATTCTGCAGATGCGAGGTTGTCGTTTACATTATGTTTTGCTTCCGTTATGCACCTCCCGGTTTTACCCCGGTAATTGTAACACAAATGTGGCAGAGTACATCACTTTTAATGTTGAGGCCTCTTCCGTCCCACATAAGAATAAAAATAAAGCATACGCTCTCAACAGAACGAGGTGCAGACCTCATAATGCGATCTGATTGTTCATTGTAACCAGCCGCATACCGCAGATGTGCCTCCATTACCATGCATGTTATTTCCGCCATTCCTCTTAGTCTAATACTAACATCTCACAATGGTAGGATTTCAATAAAGCCGTAGGAAAATGGAAACTGGCAGATGTCAACATTTCCTATTGTCTCTTCAGTGCCAACACAATGACACGAAATTTTATAAGACGACCGGAACAAGTTAGGACATAGTGGAAGACAAGTGTGATACCCTTAAGCTCAGAGCAGTTGTAGGCTTACGAATAGCTGTTTCTGCACACCGAGTGCGGGTTTGATACGGCCGATCGCGACTGCCTCTGCGAAACGTAGGAAGCAGGTGTTAGCATGTCTTAACACGATTAAAAACATTGTGGTCTGATCGAACGGATGACAGGTGGCCATTAAATGCCTATCTATTGATGAAGAAGGTGGCCTACGTGAACAGGTGTTATGAGCAACTGACGACTGAGTGATTTGACGCTGCAACCATTTAGGAACATGTCTCCTTATTTTGGAGTTCAACATACTGTCAGTACGGCCGACGTAGCATGTACACAGCTACAGGTAAATTGGTGACTACAACGTGTGTTGGCGCCGACAGGTTGTCTTTCGTCATGAGGTAACAGGTATTTAACTAGTTCGGTTGATAAGATCAGTTTCAGCAGCTAAGTCCTCTGGACTTCGGAAATTATGCGCTTCGTTGTCCTCATATTGGCAGAATTGCTCTTTAATAGGAGCTCGATGTAGACCTTTTTACCAACTGTCGATACCTTCTGTCCGGACACCTTCGCCTGGCTTGGTTTATCGACTGATCCTCTTGGACAGCCATTTATCAACGGCGTATCCTTGATCTAGTTTATCTCGTCATCTAAACTGTCGGTGGTGCATAGTTCTTGCACAGTTGAATAGCGTGTTAACTAACATCTGCTTATACCTCATTGGGGAGAAGATGGTAAAGTGCACGTACTGCCCTGACCAAGTCGGCTTTCAGTAAACTACTCTTTTGATGGAGCATCTGCTCTTCGGCAAATCAACGCTTCCAGATATGGGAGGCAGTTGTTTTTCTCTATTTTGCTGGGTATTTTCAGATCTGTATGCGCGTTATTCAGGCGATTGGCCAGACACGCGATGTGCTCTTCTGATGAGCTAAACACCAAAATATCATCCATATACCGCTTAGAGTTGGAAGGAAGTGATATTTCTACACTCAACTTCAGTCATGGACATGAAAAAATCTGCCAGCACTAGGCCAGACCCATCGCCACCCCATCTATCTGGTGATAAGGAATGTTTAGGAATTGGAAACCGATGTCCTCAGTGCATAGTAGTCGGTTGTCCTCCAATATTTCGACTGCTGCTGGAAGAGTTAAATCGGAGCACTGGGCCAAATCACACACCTAATTAATTTTTTCACGTAGCAGAACATTAGTGAAAACGATTGTACATCTGATGATGCTATAACTTTATCAGATAAGTTAATTTCATATAAAGCCTCCGTGCGCTCGAAGAGTCCTTCAGAGGGTGTGGAATAGTCGGCCGTTTTTACGGCGCAAGTGCTTCTATTAGCCAACTAGTCAGCTTATGTTGTCCTGAGTTTGCCATTGACAGGATTGGTCTGAGTCGTGTGCCACATTTATAGGTCTTTGGACCCTCCCGGTTTTAGGCTCTTACATACCTTTTCGTCAATCACACAGTGTAGAAGGAGCGACTATAGGTGGTCTGTGATGCGTCTTTCTACTTCATTAACATTCTCTGTTCTTGTAAGGAGTTTTAATTTGCTGGCATCACTCAGTATATCTTGCATTTTCTGTGTGTATTTTCCTTTCCCATAGTAACGGCTCCTGAGCCTTGGTCTGGCTTAAGTGCCACCACTCCTTTCGTCCTCAGCTCCCATGGTGCACGAAGGTGACGGCTTGTAAGCAAACACTTCTCCCGCACTGGTGTCATTGTGACTTCGTGGCAATATCAATTAGTTTGTTTCTAAACCAGTTGGACATAGCTGGACTAGATGGCTGTACTTCTGCTAACTGGTCATAAAAGTTTTCGAGCTTTACCTCTATGAAGAAGCGGTTTAGCTTACCAGGTGGAACTTTGTAATCTATTCCTAGCTATAATGCCTCCAGTTGTAAGGCTGAAACTGTTCTTATCAACCGAACAAATCAAATACTTGTTACCTCCTTGACGGCGCCAACACACGTTGTAGTCACCAATTTACCTGTAGCTGTGTACATGCTACGTCGGCCGTACTGACAGTATGTTGAACTCCAAAATAAGGAGACATGTTCCTAAATGGTTGCAGCGTCAAATCACTCAGTCGTCAGTTGCTCATAACACCTGTTCACGTAGGCCACCTTCTTCATCAATAGATAGGCATTTAATGGCCACCTGTCATCCGTTCGATCAGACCACAATGTTTTTAATCGTGTTAAGACATGCTAACACCTGCTTCCTACGTTTCGCAGAGGCAGTCGCGATCGGCCGTATCAAACCCGCACTCGGTGTGCAGAAACAGCTATTCGTAAGCCTACAACTGCTCTGAGCTTAAGGGTATCACACTTGTCTTCCACTATGTCCTAACTTGTTCCGGTCGTCTTATAAAATTTCGTGTCATTGTGTTGGCACTGAAGAGACAATACGAAATGTTGACACCTGCCGGTTTTCCTGTTTTTGCGACTTTATTCACCTTACTAAGTGGATCTGTTTGTTTCAAATAGTGGAATTTGTAATTCAGATCTATGTTCTGTTTAGTCTTGATGCGCTTCTTAGATTATTGGACGACCATTATATACGTTTTTGACGTGTGACCAGTCAAGACTTAACGAATTGCATTGTATACTTTTTCCTTCCTTGCCTTCCCATTCCTTTGATATTGTTAAATCTCCTTCATTTGCACGGGCACGCATATGGCCACTGAACATATTGGACGGCCTCAGCACTATCAACCTCTTAACTCACATTGCTTGCTGGTAATCACTTGGCTGTAAACCATCGGTATGGTGTACCGGCGTACCGCTGGTGCCTTTTCCCACTGTTCCTATTCCAAGCCACAAGCTGACAATCGCTGATGCTCTTTCCTGTCTTCCTCAGGTCGGTGACTTTGGATTGGCTCGTGAATACGGGTCTCCGTTGAAACACTACACCGAGGTGGTCGTCACGTTGTGGTATCGCGCCCCAGAACTGCTATTGGGTACATCCGTATTTAATGCCATTCGATGATGTCTATTTTACTTTCTTAATTGTTAGTGTACTTTGTGTTTGCTTCGTGTGCCAGTCTACCGCATGGTAGCTAAGCGCAGGAACGAATCACGGGTCTACTGGTAATACCTCTCGTTGCTTCATTGCTCCTGATCCATCCTCAGTGGTCTGGTGTTTTCGCATTCTTTTAAAAAGTGTGTTTTAACCGAACCCTGTCATGTAACACCACGTTTTCCTTGGCTCCTCTACACGACTTGTTCTATCCTGCTTAAAAGTCTTATCGGTGAAAGTAATGACTGATTTATTTTATTCGGTTGAGATCCACTTCAACTAGGTTTGCCCAAACCATTCCTCTTATGTTCAACAAAGCGTAAATGATGTTTGTTCAAGGTTGCTCGTTCACCTTACTGCACTCCACTATCGGCTATCTGCTCGTTTGCAATCGTCCCATGGAGAAAACGACTGTGACTCGAGCCCAGAATGTTGTGGGACTATCAGTCAAAGCTTCTACTCTTAAACCACTGAGTCGCGGTGGGCAGTGCGATCCTTATTGAGAGTTGCGTGTCACAATCCATTCAGTCAACGAGTGCTTTAAAGTGACCTCCATGTTAGTGCTATTTCTCTTGCATAATTCATCCGTAGTACGTTATTTAGCGCTGCACGAGTTCGCCCTCACGGGGTATTGACGGAGTTCTGTATATTTACTCTCGCAATGCTTTTAGCATTGCCTTTTGTTGCTTGCCAACATCACAGGTGTCTACTCCTCATTTTCAGCCTTTGGGTGTTCCATCAACTCAAGCAGCGCTTACTGCGTTGAAACTACTCTGCGCCCAAGAGTTATCTGCTTCAGATTCGATCCCACTGACCGATTTGACACAGGTCCACTTCAAAGCGAATCTCGATCTATGAACCAATACTTTCGACGAATTGATGCATGCCTGGGCATTACATAAATTCGCCGAGATTGGACAAATCTCCCGGAGTAATATTGAAACAGTAATCCTATAAAACACAAAAATTGGTAGGAATCGCTTTCGGACGCATGAGCCTACGTTGTTAGTGTGGGATATTTTGTGCTATCGCACCCCGCATTTGTGTGCCGTTCACTTTAGGGGATCCTCTCATGGTAGGCACACACAAGTCGGATATGGCAAGTTTGGTGAGCCCCAGTGCCGAAGCGTGCTTGGCGGAGGTGGGGAATATATGACCTCGGTTGTTGATGATTATCCGACGGTGCATGCTATTTAATGCCGTAGGATCTTCCGCGTGCACAAAGCGGGCTATGGCTTCGGCATGAATACGTACACCGTATTTGTCAATTTTTAGTTGGTTACTACTGCTCACTCGCATATTACCTCGTCCATTACGTGTGCTCTAGAGCTCTTAATAGCGATTAAATCCGGTTCTATGTACGTTGATGCACCGGACATGCGGGGCTCCGGGATGGTTTGGGCTCATTTGCGCATCACAGTCCATTCACAAAACGACCCAGAGGGTGTAGACATTGTCGAGTAACGCTCTCCAAGAATCAAAAACAAAGACTGGACTGCCATCAGAATCTATTTATATCAGAATGCAATGTATTATTTATAGGGTAATTAACGCTCCGTTCTGCCACCCCGATTTGCTCTTCCTTGGTTGGCTGCGTCTGGCAAAAACCCACCATATTCATCAATCGAGCTAGTTGGTCATGCTAGCTTACTAAGCGATCCTCGCTCATGCGTGCAGGTGTTGCTGCTGAACTAGCGGCGGACAATCGATCGCGAGGCGTCATGCCTGTTCGTTTAGAGTTCGTTGGAGAATACCAACAGCTGCCATTACAACGCTGACACCACAGATGGAAAAGGAAGGCGGAAGGCTAGCCGGCGACGTGGTCAAAGTCGATGTAGTCCCTCATTTTAATGTTTACCTCAGTTGGAGCTTCTCGGATCTCTGGTTGGGGCCCGACGGCAGATGAATCTTTCGACTAGATACGTTTGTTGACATAGTTAGGTTCCGCTCACAGTGGCGTTCGTGTTGTGAGTTTTTTATCCCTCTTCCTCCAACCACGATCTGATTCCTGAAGCATGATATGATTTTTTTCGCGATACGTCAGCCGGAACGTCCTTCCGTTTTTCGTGGCTCAGCTGGCGCGCCTGTGTTGCGTCTGTTACTTTTTCCTTATGTATTGAGGTGCAATGGCTTAGGTGTCCTTACTTATAGCTAACGTGTGTAATATAAAATATAAACAGCGAGTGCTTCAAGCGATTCCTCCAGTGATTCCTTAATCATTGTGAAATACGTTGTCCGCAGCTCACTGGTTTAATGTGTAGATTTCACTTCCCGAATTTGAGCCACTGTCCTACTACCTCTACCTGGTGAGTAGGAAACCAGTCTTTGAGCATAGTGTTGCGAGCGGGCAGCATCTAAAATTTGTTTTGCTATTCAGTTGTTTGCTTCGACCCGCGTATTTTTGGCACTACCGCTTAGCCTTCTGTCGTCTTTTGCTATTTTCTGGTTTTTCGTCTTGCGCCGTTTCCTTTTCTCACCCACTCCTTACCTCTTCAGTTTTCGAGTCTTATTGGTTTTGTCCGTCCTCAGTTTTACTTTTCTATTATTTCAGCCCCCACTTAACCGTCCTCTGCACTGTAAATTTTGTCTTATATGAATCATGACTCTGTCGGATGCACCAACAGTTTTTCCTAACTGACCGTGATGTCGAATGCCATGTCACTGCAAATGCGCCAATCGCCAGCTGATGCTAATAGTGACAAACTATCTTCTATCTTTAACATCGTTGACGTTTATCCTTCTTGCAAACTTTCGGTGACCTTGTTTCCGGTTGAATATGCTGGCGTGAAAGATAGTTTGGACGCAGTATGTCTCCTGTTCACGTCTATGGCACTTTGGCAGGTCTGCTTGCCGAAGGTGCACCATCTCAGTAAATGCCAAGCTCCACATTGTCAGCAAGCTGATGTAGTTTTTTCTAGTGTATATATTCCGTTCTCAGTTGCTGGATTGTTGCTCCTGGAAACTTGCTCGGCAGTGATATCACCAGTATGCGCCTTTGAATCTGCTACCATAGTTGTGTCGTGGTCCTCTGGGCTATAGCAACGACATTTTGTTATGACACCCCGGGTCGCATTCCAACATCCCATGTATTATCCGGATTTCGGCATCTTTGGGAGACTGTAAACTGTACACCAAAATCAGGCACTCAAACTGATCTTCGGTAAGCGAGTTCATTTCGAATTTCTGGCATTCACGCCTCATTGTCGTTGCATGAGCAGGAAGACTACCAATGTCCATTTTGCAAAGCCTCAAACAATCGTACCCATTACTAAAAAGCAACGACCGGTCTCCAAGCATTTCTATGAGCCGGGCAACTGTGCCATTAAAACTGAAATCATGGGTACTCTCAGGCAAATGTATTTTTATATCTGCCGTGCTCAACCTTCCCCAATTTTCTTAACAGTGATCGAACTTTTGATGCATCGTCGAGATTTGACAACTCTGTCCTGATAGCATCTTCAAAGCGCCTCAAACAGCGCAATAAATAATAGCCCTGAGTCAGGATCGAAGTCGACCTCACTAACGCTGTGGATCACTGCATCCACGGTTAGCTTCCCAGTATTCTGGATGAGCGTGGGCTGAAAAGATCATATTCTTGTGAGAGTTTCAATCATTCGCAGCTGTGCAATTTCACATATCCGCTGTTGTTTTAACAAAATGGCCTTCAGGTCTTCCGATAAGATTGCCGTCCTGATCTAGTTCACCTCTGCTGCCAAAATATACTGTTTTCCACTGACCGTACGAATAACCCGCTGCTACTGCGCAAGTTGGACCCAAAGATTTTTCAGATCAGAAGACTAAAGACTGTGGCAAATACCTCCATTAAACACCCGGTAAGCAGTATACACAAGTAAATACTGGGGTCAAATAAATAGTTTATAAGAAACTGACCTAGCTGGAATTTCCTGGATTTCAGCAACTAGATGCCTGATAATGCACTTGGTGGTTGCTGACGCTTACTGGCAGGCTACAAGATGGATCACCCTCATTGGTAGCCTTCAAGGTGAAACGTCACTATTTTCCCGCTCTTATTGTCTGGCCAATAAGCTTCGGGCTTCGCCAGGGTCAAACTGCTCCGGGCTGCTAGCGAGAGGCTCCGCCTCAGAACAGGTTCCTTTAACACTGTCGTTTTAAGGGACTAGTCTGATTGTCATCGCCTAACTTTCCCCTACGCACATTATCGTTTCGGACACGCTGGTTCCATCCGACACTAGCATTGGTTCACAGACAAAAATTATCATACTTCAAGACGCTGCAAATCCTCAGATCGAAGGGGCCAAGTCTCACTCCCACAGAGTAGAGCGGTCCTCACTGTGGCCCTGTATATGCTGCCTTTCAGATCGAAAGAAACTTTCTGACACCACAGATATCGCAGAATCGGGAAGGCAGTTCTAGCCTTCGCAATACGTAAACTGACTTCGGCGCTTATGCGCCCATCGTTGCTGATGCAGCTACCAAGATAAGTGAATTGATCAACTTCCTCGTGTTCCTCGTCACAAAGGGTTAAGGGGTCATTAAGTGGTTGGTGGTCTCGCTACAACATTTCGCGCTGGAATTTAGCGGGGTGCGATGGTTTGCTTGCCTCCGCGATCCATTTAGCTATGCTGAGTGGTGTTTTTTCACATCCAGAGCCACTCATACTACATTGCCGATTGGTTAGAGACCAGACAAACTCATTTCCCTGGTCTTCCAAGGTTGGGGTTGGAGTGATGGTGGCTCGTTTTCCTATACAATGGACTCTCTGTATCCTAGTGCCGAAATCCCCCTGTCTTGCGGTTAGGTTTATAAACCGAAAATTTTAGTTGAGAACCCTAATCGTTCTCCCATATAGGCTGGGCAACCTAACAGTAATCTGCCCACGCAATACCTAGAATTCTTCTACAAACAGTTCCTCGATGTTTTGGTCGTCGTAGAGGACAAGCAACGGCGCCCTATTTTGCTGCATCGATCGCGGTAGATAGTAGTTTGGATGCTACTGCTTTATCCTTCCCTTTTCCCCCACTTCCAACTTCACTTTTATCTGTTTTATTTGTTTTCAGTCTCCAATTCTTGGCCTACCCCATCTTGCTTCGATAGTAGCTTGTCTTCTAGTTCTGATTTACACGCATACGCAAGATGTATCTCCATTCCAATCGAGAAACCCATGTTCAACCAAGCGGACAACATCAGTTCATCCGTTTCTCTTTGGAGCCGTCGATCTTTGCTAATACTAGCATGCCTCAGCTTATGCACTTTATTGCAGATTGGCCGATAGGCAGCATTTCCCTGAACACTTACAATCTTGCCGCCCTATATTTGCTACTTTTCGGAAACCCGCCTGCAAGATTCGAGCTTCATGCTCACCGTGCGATCTCCCACAAGCATCAATGGCGGCACTTTCTCACTGCGTTTGTCTGGAGATAACGCTGTTTTAAATTCTGGCCAAGCCTATGTGAACGTGCTCTGTCTCCTGACTAAAGCTGCCCTGGTTGACTGGATCCCTATGAACAGCCGGATGTGTGCCGTCATATTCGTTGACTCGTTCAAAGCTTCGAAGTCACGTGGGCACAATAGGTGCTTGTTTCTCATTGCGGTCTACGCCCCACGAACTAGCACTGAGTCGATAAAGATGAATTCTACCAACCACTGAACGGTCTTTTTCATTACAGAAATAGTACGATTTCTGTGGTGCTTGTTGATGATCGGAACGCCAAGTCGACAAATTGTCAGCTGATGAACTGCATCTGGGCGGCTAACACGATGTAGGCTTCCGTAATGATAAGGGGAGCGGTTTCTAGACCTGTGTGGAAATGCTCATCTATTTTTCGTTAGCATTTACTTCCGACATAGCTCCTGTCGGAGAGTGACATGGCACCCACCAGCCGTGGACGCAAATCGATCACATCGCGATAAGTTACCGCTGGAGAGGCTTCGTCCAAAACTGTCGCTCGAATTTCATCACGATCGTGGACTCTGACCCCGCACTCGTTTGTGCCGAATTTACTTTTCTTCGGTGGGCGCATACATCGACGTTGTGAGCGCATAGATACTTATCAGCTGGCGAAACCAGATGTCCTAATTGCATATCAAACTACGCTGCCACTCGTCCTGAGTAGGTGCTCTCTGTACACAGTTGAAGATCACTGGTTGCAAATTTGCCAGATGTTGTTAGAAGCGTGCATGTCTGCATATAGCATATCAAATTGCCAACCTGGGCGTAGGGTCACTATGCAGCATCTGTAACTTTAGATGCTCCCCGACACATTCCGGCTGGAAGCGAACACCAAAACACTCGCAAAGACCTCGAGGCCAGTCTGAAATGGACCGCGAATCCTGGTAGTCTCATCATGGATCGGATATCAAGACAGCTGTTGCGGTTTGTAACCATCGGAAGTTATTGTCTGATACGCGAAACATGCAGAATGAGACCTGGTGTTAGCGTGACCATAGGCGAATAGGATGAGCGGCCAATCTACAGTTTGTCAATACCCACTTACTGTTGAGTCGAACGCTTAGAATAACAGTCTATTCAGAGTTATTGGGTTATCATTCGACCAATGATACCATTCTCCCTGGCTCGTCTCCCTGTATCAGCCCTCACACGCAGAAGTCGAACGTAAGATCAGACTGTTGAAATGGAGTAAGGCCGCAAGAACAGATGGACTTCATCCAGCCCTCCTCAGATTCGGGGGACCTGCTCTTGCAGATCATCTGCATAACTTATTTTTGAAGCTGTTGGGGGAGGAAACTGTCCCAACAGACTGGAGCCGCTCCGTAATAATCACCTTTTTCGAAAGGGCTCCCTTTTGGAATGTGGCGATCATAGAGGAATTAGTCTGATCCCATTTGCCTCTAAGATACTCGCCTTTGTCGTTCTTCATAGACTTACTGGCGCCCATGAAGGTCAGATTCGTGAGAAGCAAGCCGAGCTTCTTTATAGTCGCAGCTGCATTGATCACATCTTCACATCGCGTCAAATGTTAGAGTACCACCACATTAATTGGTGACCCACCGTTGTCCTGTTTCTCGACATCAAAGGTGCCTTCGATTTGTTGGTCGATGTGCCCTTTGGGACTGTCTGATCAGAAAAGGCTTGTCCGAAAACGACGTAAACATTGACAGAGCGCTTTACGCGCATAGTTCGTGCGGAGTGGGGGTTTATGGCGAACTGTCTCCACTCTTCAATATCTTTAGCGATTTGAGACAAGGTTACTCGCCGTCACCTTTCTTCTTTAACTTCGCCATTGACGAACTCTTAGAAAGTGTTCGCTGGACATGATCTACAAGGTGTGGAGCTGCTTCCTGTTGAGCGACTTCTTTACTTAGAGTATGCTGACGGCGCTCAAACCTGCTACGTGGCACTTGACAAATTAGCATTGGTAGTCAGTCGTTTGGTCTATGCTCTACTCCCTTGAAATGCCAAGTTCTTCTCTAAGCTTGGCAGAGACACACCCCTGCGCTGACCATTGGTGGTGATCAGCTAGAAAGCGTTCCGAAATTCAAGTACCTCGGAAGCTGTATTAGCGCCTGTGTAATGCAAGAAGAGATCACTAACCGTATAGCAAAATCTTGAGGGGCTTTTGTCATTCTCCGCTACCTGTGGCGCCGATGCGACAGAGTTTGCAATGCAGTCGTCTGTTCTATCCTCTTTTACGGTTGTGAAACTTGGCCCATCATGTCTACAGACACAATGAGGCTAGCTACGTTCGACCATCGCTACCTTCGCAGCTTAGCTCATGTCTGGTGGGAGCACCTCGTGAGCAATGAATGTGTTCGACGTCGTGTATTTGTTGCGGGATGAGCTAGTGAACCGGTCAGCACCGTTATTTCACGCACCAAGCCCCGATGGCTAGACTACGTGTTGCGCCCACTAGAACACCGACTCCCGCGACGTGCGTTTGCGCGCTCAGGGTGTACATGGAAGAAATGGAAGGGGGGCTAAGCAATGACTTAGTCGACAGGAATGAAATCCCTAACTTTTAATTTGGCGTCGCTTGGTTTATCCGACTGCCTGGCTGGGGTCCAAGAGACGATGAACACATGTGCTTGGATACACTTGTTGATATGGCAAGGAGCCGATCACAACGGCATTTATGTTCGGAGTCTGTTTATATTTCCCCTCCCCTTTAGCGAAATATTATATTACTTTTTCGGTTTTTCTCTTGTATCCTGTAATGATTGGTACCTCGCTTTTCCATGTATCCTTCATGTATTTTGTTACAGTAGCTGAAATGTGTTTCCCCCCTGTAGCTGATGTGTAATATGACAATGAATATCTGTGACTTTCATCCCGCATTTCGTTGCTGAACGAAAACGTCGAAGATTTAGCAGCGTTTTATGTGGAATAGGGTTAAGAAAACATGCCTTCTCTTCAGCCCACTTTTGTACATACTCGGCAAGAGCTAAATGAAACGGAAAGGTTTACTTTTTAGGTCGTTTACCTGGATATGTGCTAGTCATTTTTATATTGGAATTGAAGCTTTTTGAATTTTTTATTATTCTTATTCAAACATGGTGACATTTGTGCCCAGTATTTGGTTACTTCGGTTTGGTAGCTCATTGTGTGTGGGGACATTTCAATCAATTAGTGCCACGGACCAAGGTGACCCATAATCCTCACGATTCGCTCTCATGAATCCAGTTTCGCCTCTTCGAACCGCCCCTTTATTCCAGATTTAACCATTGCGATTCTCGAATTTTGTGATGTGATTAACCCTACGCAGCTGCTAATCGATCGCTACCATTTATGGTTTGTAACTGTGAATGTGAGTTCTATAGCAACCATCTGTCCGATGCACATCTGTATGAGTGCTGGTAATCTAAGATCATCCATCCAACTGTATTGCTTGTAAATGTACATTGTTTTTGTAAAACAACGTCACAAAGTTTGCTCCTCCAGACATAGGCGGTTAAGTATATAAAGAAAAATAGACGGAAATAGCAGCACGTACGATCCGCAAAGCGCTGCGATCTGTGTTTTCTTTACACAGCAACCTTTCTGGACTGATGCACTTCTTTCCATTATTCAGTTAAACCAACGCGAAAGATACTGTATTATCCGAGAACTGATATTAGTACATACCACGGACAAATCCAATAGGTTTTCCTCTGATTATCTGGTGTGATATCGACCTGCATACTATAGTATTACACTTTTTCCTTTAGCCTGGTTTACTTGGTATATTCCAACTGTGCGTATTAGCATTCAGATCGTTTGCGTGTTTGTACTTGACAGGGTGACTCCGCACATTTCGAATCACTGCTTCAGCTCCTCAGTTTATCAGACGATTTTTCCAATTCGAACAGTAGACGATTCATGTAGTTGAAGCTTGACAAACTTTCCCATGTTCAACCACCCAGAATGACGTCACTTGTACAGTTTTTCTATTGTTGGCTTATTGTCACTCTTACTGGAAAAGTACAAATGCCTACCCGCTCTTATCATGTCTATAATGCTCCTTCTTTTCTAGGTGTCAAGCAGTACACCTGTCCTATCGACCTGTGGTCTGTGGGCTGCATTTTCGCAGAGTTTTTGTTGCAGCGTCCTTTATTCCCCGGCAAAGGAGAAGTGGATGAGCTCAACATTATATTCCGGGATTTGGGCACGCCGACCGAGCGCATCTGGCCCGGAGTCTCTCAACTACCGGGGATGAAGAAGTGCATTTTTACAGAGTATCCATACAACCAGCTGCGGCGTCGGTTCACGGAGAAGCAAATTTCTGACCAGGGCTTCGATCTTCTCAACAGGTGAGTTTTCTACCCTTTATATACCTCTTTCATCGGGATCCGGAACTCGCGTACTCTCTTAATGATATGCCATCCATAACCAACTGTCAGTTCACCTGCTCTCAACGCTGCCTTACTCAGCCTCAAGAGCATGGAAACTGCTACCCCACACAGATGGGCACAATGAGTTTAAAACGACCGGAGCATCCTACAACTTCGTAGCAGCCAGTGCTGGCCTCTATCCTCTAACACTTTAGCATACTATTCGGTCAGAGAAAGGCACACGGCTTCACCTGTCCTCATTGTTTTTTTGATTTTTTCACCTTTCAGTTTCCTTACATATTGTCCAGAAAAGCGCATAACAGCGGAAAAAGCGCTCACTCATGCCTACTTCAACGAGCGGCCTCGTGCAATCCATCCATCTATGTTCCCAAGCTGGCCGGCAAAGTCTGAAGGCAATGTAGCAGTTCGTCGGATGGCATCTCCTCGTCCTCCTGCTGGAGGGGGAGCCTTGGCCGCTGCGGCAGCTGCAGTTGCTGCAGCTGCTGCGGCCTCAGGCAATGGCCGAGTCCGCTACCAGCCGCCCGCTCCCCCAATGGGTGGCCAAGGATTTTACAGCAGTATGGGTGGCGATTCGAAGCAGAAAAATAGCATTGGATCAGGTGATTTAATCTCTGGAGGCCAAGACAAAGGATTTTTACTGCGATTCTAACTGCTCGGGACTGTGAATGAACACTACGATGTACATAACATCCATACCTTGTAAAGCATTCAGGCTATTTTTGACATGGCTTGGAGAGTAAACCGTCACTAGTTTTCATTGTGTTCTTCTTCCTATCACTCTTTTGAGCTGTCGTTTCTTTATCTTACCACTGCTTCATTTCAGGTCGGCACACAATACGACTCACGTCGTTTCTGATTCACCCGCTTTCTTTCCTCTGCCCTCGTGGTGAAGCAAATATGACACGTCGCTTATGACGCTCTCACTAATGCCGTTGCACCATCTTATCACTGGGCCACCACCCGATGCGGCGTGGAATTTTACTCTTGATGAAATTCGTCAGCAATTGGCCTACCTAAATGTGACAAACTTGTCCGATTCACATATTTGCCAACTGAAAAAACAGTTAGATGATTTGATTGCCAAAGAATTAGAGCACGTCCAGGTTGCTTCCGAACTGTCTTGTTGCCGCATAGAGGATCCGGTTTCTTCACATCTGGACTCCGTCTCGAAGTTCTCATCTGACAGCGGAGATTGCACCACTCCTGAGTCTGAGATGCATAAATCACTGAGCGACTTGGATTCTCATCACACTGTACCGGTCAGTGCATTTGTGTTTGTCTGTGTATCCACATATTTTCCTCCACACCCTATCGTACATGAAGACAGGGTAATGGTCTTGTTTAGGCATTTTGCATCGGCGGCTTGCGTTGCTGCATGAACTATTGATAGATTCTCTCCATTTTTTTCAACGTTCATGAATACCTTTTCAAACGCAAGTAGAGTTCGTTAAGGCTACCTCCTTAACCTAGCATCTATCGGGAGTTTTGCTTTTGGGCCTCACGATTCAAATATTTTCATCCTGCTCGGGAAGCTAGTTGAGTTGAAACACGCTTACATCGCTTTGCCGTTTGTTACTTGTCGCGTATTCGACCCTCTACAGACTTACCTCGTCTTGCCTATACCTTGCTCATTCACAACGCAGCATGCCTTTTTAGGTAGACGACAACATCTTGGCAAGTCGTCGCCCATCAACGACAAGAACTGCCGTTATCTTTTCGCTTCCTTTTCCCGTCAAGTGCAGTAGAAGTGACAGGTGTATGACTGCTGATATTAGTTCGGGTATCACATGAGCTGATGCCGCATTGGCCAACTTTCGATAACCCTGGCGTCAGGATTGCATTTCCTTTGGGCTTTGGACTAACCGGTCGGTGGCCAGTGGCTGAGTTGATCGGACGTCTAGCTTGTAATCCACAGGCCGGCGGCTCGATCCTTCGTTGATACGATCGACGTCGCATTATGCTTACTCCGCACGCGGCTGTTGGTGGTCGTGTGACAGTGAGGCGTCGGTGCGACGTCCTGGCGTACTGCCCTTTGCTGACGGCGTGTACATGACCACACTGAAACCCGTTCTGCTACATTCCGATGAAACTTGTTTTCCTTAATCTAAAGATCTCATAGAGCTTTTGGTCTGTGAGCACCTTAGCTGCGCATTACACGTGTTCGGTACCACAGCGTGTACTAAGCGATGACAGGAGTACTAGGTAGTGATGATATTGTCAGTTGGTTTGATAAACATATGACGCTGGGTTAGTTGCGTTAGTTCAGGTACGTGCGACGTATACTTGTTTCCTGAGAAACACTTGATCTATTTACTGGACCCAGAACGGAGTCTGCTTCAAGTAGGGCAATGACTGACCTTTCATCGGGAACTGCAGCGCATGATGTGTTTAATCTGTTTCACATGGTGATGACTCTGGGCCGTAGTTTAGTGTGAGGGTTTACGTGTCTCTGTAATCCATTGAACTCCATTTGGTGGCGGTTGGATCCATTTGGACCAAACAATTCAATGGTTAGGACTCAGACAATCTTAGTATCTTCTTTCTGAGATCGATGGTCTTCTTTCTTCAAAACAGTTTTGAGAGGCAATAAGATAGCGGGATCCCACCGCCCTTTCTCGTTGGTTTGGGACCATATATCTCTAGTCAGGCATCACATCCTCATTATGGCTCAAATTCGCCACATCCCACCTGTGGTTGGCCGTGGTTGCAGGTGCTTGCTATATCACTTTCGGAAAACATACATGAATTGTTCTAAACCTTCCAACATTGCTTCTGATTAGTCCTAATTACGTCCACTTGAACACCACTGGATAGCTGCAACCGCACTTCTGAACTGAATTTGTGCTCCAGTGCATTGTGGACCAAGCTGTCAAGTCTAATACTAAAGCTGGAGTACCGGGATCAGAGAGTATCACTTGCTCGTAAGACCCCGTCTCCAGCAATTTTCCTCTTCCGTTTCTGTTCCTTATTGCTACTCTTTTTTCTTGTTTACCACCCAGAGCCCATTACAGACTTCATCAGCCACGCTATTAACGAAGCTAAGTCATTTTCCACACCAAGGATACCATGTACATTCAGCCCTTTGCACACGGATGTGTCGTTCAACATACTTTACAATTTTTCGGAGTTGATGTATGCTGTATCTCCGGAACCGTATTCTGTTTAGTACAATACTTTTGGTCGATTTGAGGCTCTTATATCTTTCTTTGACAATGGCTTGTCATGTGTCCGGCTTATGCTCACTCATCTATTCTTGAGGAACCACTCAACCTCGAGAATTCGCGCATAGCAACAGCGTACGCAATCCACGAAGCAGAAAAAGCAGTCTACATCGGCTATCTCTGTTCAACTAGGTAGACAAACCAAATAAACGGTCTCAATGCGCAATGCAAATAACACTTGAGCTCGTCTACATTTTCAACATCAATCGTCCGAATAATGGATGGATTTCTGGGAGTTCTATTAGTCCGGTTGAAACAAGGAAGATGGTTCCATGGAGATTTCCGTTTCACAAAGTCTATAGCACTCTTAGTTGCCCTCCGACTAGGAGACTGAGAAATTGCCCAGGAACTTAATTGGATGGAGAAGGCCAACCTCCTTTGAAATACCTGAGTACTTGATGTGTCGAACGAAGATAGCGCAACAAACGTGATAACTCGGAGAATGGTCTAATGCTCACATCACTGTGAAGGTTACTATGCGTATCAGCATGGTCCGTGTGGCCTTCCGGAGGATCAGATAGCCACGATATCAGTCTATCAGTGGAATGTAGGATGTATAAAGTTGCGATAAGGCCGATGTAACTGTATGGATCAGAGACTTGACAATTCGCAGTGATGACATTAGACCCTCGGCTGTGTTTGACCACCGGTGCTCGCGGTGGATTGATCACCGACGAAATGCCGGGTTAGTGATTGGTCTGTCGGTTGGTTTTTGGCTAGATGCCTTCTGGTGCCTCATTTGAGTGCTAAAGCTCAATCACTTACGTTAGCTAGGTCATGTCTTGCGTATGTCCGTCGTCCTACATTATAGAATAATGTGTTTCTGTATAGCTGTAGTTACCGTCCATTGAGCCTAGTCCTATCATTCTCTACGGGTTTCATTCCGAACTATTGGTGCGTGCGGATTTTTCTGTTGGACGAGAAATTTCAGATCCTTTTGCTCTTAATCATTAACCAGATATTTGAGAAGATTCATCCTCTATCGGTGGCGAATCTTCTGAAAAGCTCTGTGCACATCTTTACTACTCCCTAATCAGATATTTCCTTCGAAAATGATACGCTGAAATTTATCATTTCATTGTAGCTTCCTATTATATTGCGGTCCCTGAAGCCACACGGAGGAAAGTTATGGAGGTCAGTGGGATCAAACAGTGCCTGAGGAACGGCAAAGAAGTGCGTGAACTTAAAGATAGAAATATTTGTTGTTGTCACGACAAGTTATAGGGTTCATGACTACTGAGCGTACAGGACATTAGGAAACTTTCTTACGCATTTCTTGGGGCTGAGTAACGGATTATCTTCTGTCAAATGCCTTTTAAGGCTAGGTTTGAATCGGCATTAGCAACTAGTTAGTGCAGTGTAAGTTGCTCGTGTTTCGTGGGTAGCATAATAATAAAATGGTGCAGAACACCAACCTCCTAAACCGACGATGTTTAGAACTTGGATATGGCAAGTAATCGGGCGTGAAAAAAGTCAGCGAAAAGTTGAAGGTATGTTGTATCTGTCCTACCATTGAGTCGTTTGTTCCAGTAACGATGGCGTCACCAAACCTTTTTCACAGCGTGCCGGATAACTGACGAAATACTAGCGCGAGCCGCATAATCCTTCTGCACAATACTTGAGAGCCGGAACGAAAACTTCGGGAAATACGGCAAAGTAAACACGACACTCAGCACCAAATTTTCTGTTCTGAGTAGTTATAGTGAAAGAAAGAAATAAAGAGGGGCTGGACCAATAAAATACAGTATCACCAACACAATAAAAATCTTATTGGATCATCAGAAGAACAGCACACTAGGGGTTATACGTGGAGATGCGGCTCGCCAAAGTGCGTATAAAATGCATGGCTAATTCGGTCTATATATATATATATATATATATATATATATATATATATATATATATATATATATATATATATTCTAAACATTTGACGGATTTGAAGCAAATCAGATCGCAAGGAAAGGTTGTTATACTCGACTCAGTTAAGGGGCCAACTGACGTGGTGCTGGATGAATCCGAATATGTAGAAAAGATCATGACGATGCTCAATGATCGCACTAACTCTGAGCTAGACTGTACTCCTGCCCATGCAGTTAAACTGTAGAGGAGGATAAACACGGAGATGAGTTCATTATTACTAAGACTGCCAAATCCTTGAGACCCAGGGGCACGCAGACATCACATCGATGGATTGTCAAAATTACACATGGTAGGTGTGCCACTGAGACAGATCTTATCTGTGAGCGATTCGCCGCAACGTAACCTAGCTAACTGGTTAGTCAAGATACTTGAGCCAATCCAGAACTCAATGCTTTATTACAGTCTGAAGAACACATTCGAATTAGTGCAGGTACTGGACGTCATAGAGCTGAAAGGTGAGGTCATGTCCAGCATTGACATTGGTCTCACTATTCACAAATGTGTCACTGAAAAACACCATCCAGGCTATATAACTGTGTGGCCGAGAGTCAATTGGAAATAGGCCTTCCAGCTTCCTATGCACATCGAAGGTATAGAAAAGTTTTTTTTCTACTACAAGACTGTCAACAGGTGTCGCCATGGGCATCCCGCTTTAACAGTGCTGGGTAACATGCTATATAGCCTGCACCAACACATCATGGTGATAACGGAACATGAGCGGAATGATGGTTTGCCCTACTTGGACAAACTGATAGAACGCAGGAACGCGATCAATGCGTAGTTTTGTCTACTGCAATCCTGCTTGGAGGGGGCAGTATCTGAACTTCCATAGCTTTATTCCGGCTCGTTACAAACTGGGCATGGTGCGGAATCTGTTCAATAGAGCGAGAAAAAGTATGCACTCCAGACACACTCGGATATGAGATGCAACTGCTCCCAAACATCCTGACAGAAAACGGGTGCCCGCTTGTTTTCCTCGCTCACTTTAACAAAAAGATAACAGAAGAGCAAATACCCACCGTACTGAAATTGAAAATTACGCTGCAACTACCGTTTACGGGGGATGTCGTGAGCTAAGTATTTCAAAGACATTTACAATCAGCCGTGGTGCGTGT